GCTTACTACAACTTGTCTTACATTTCATATTATGAGAAGTAGAGAATTTTTCCATTAAGTATTTTCTTTTTAACCAAGGGTGTGGTATCTCATTGTCTCTGGCCTTTTACTACAAATAAAGATGAAGCCCTGGAACTTGGGTAAGACTGTTAGAAGATTAGAAATCAGGAAATAAGCAGAAAGATACCATTTGGTAGCTGGTAATGTAAAAATAGTCTTACCTTTCTTTGACTCCCTTCAATGTACAGATATCTGTCTTCATAGTACATTGTTAATAGTCATACCTGCAACATTGTTGCAATCATTTGCATGTAATATTCGCCTCTCATTTTTTAAACACGTCCTTTTTGTATGTAACAGTAATAAGAAAGGCCATAGCAGCAGAAAGAACTTGACCTGCCTGATGATCTTCTGTATGCATTGCTATTCATTGTCTTTGCCCCAAGCACCAGCCTTATGACACCTACCTGGAGAAATAGTTAATAAATGTTAATGAATTGCACAGGTTGCTTGGAGAAGCTGGAAGTAAAAATGAAGACACACTCACTGTTCTTACCCAAAAGGCCTTGGGTCCAAATATACAAGGTATTCTATATGTAAAAGAACGTTGAGCATCAGAGATATGTACAAGTTTAGAAGACGGTCGCCAAGAAATTGAATTTCCACCCAACACAGATCAGTAAAGTTCTGAAAAAGAGTCATCGCGGACTTGAAATGTTATTCCTGTTTTTCTCGCTCTCCTGAGATGCTGCCAGACCTACTGTGTTTCTCCAGCATTCTCTATATTTGTTTCAGGTCAGTAAGGTGATTGGTTTGTGTCACTTTATCTCAACCTTCACACTTGAGTCTGATCATTTCCTTGTTGACTCAACCATCCTTTCTGGCTTTCAGTTACCCTAATCTTCTTGTGTGTAGTGATGAATAATGTGCTTACATAGACTGTTATTGTGACAAGAGCTGAACTAACAGTCCCAAAACCACCCTTCATCAAGTACTTCATCATACCAGGAAAGGGTCAAGAATATTTACAGCATCTATTTCAGGATTATAACTATAATATATGGGTCTATCTACAGAACATGGAATGCCTTATTATTGAAGAAGGCAGGTCACCATCACCTACTCAAGGGAAAGTATGGACAGGTAATAAATATTGGCCCAGCCGCAATACCCAAATCCCACAAGAAAATAATAAAACAATCTGACTAATATTAAAGCCTTTGTCCTTGATACAAAAGTTGGTGCCAAACTAGCTTTAGAAATTATTGCAGTTCACCACGGAATTTGTAAATTTAAACTTTGTTTTGAAAGATTATGGAAACAAAAGCCTTGGGGTGAGATTCATCTTGGGTGGTAAAGCAAACTGAGTGATCAGCAGCTCATGGCCATGGAAGGCTATGTAGCTGTAAACTGTTGTGTTGATTCATGATGATCCATTGAATGGTGTGCTACTGATGATAAGTGAAGGGCAAATCATTGCGGTATAAAACCCCAACTGGAAATAATCTTCCATCCTTACACAATTCATGACTGGTTGCTCACCAGTCGTATTAGCTCTTAATTTCATTCTGGAGTATCTCAGTTTGCCGCAAAAATAAATGAATCTCTATCAAAGAGCACAAAGACCCTAATCAGTCGGATCATTCAGACTCGGGCATTGAATGAGGGCATGACAAAAACAAAGCCAGCCCATTCAACCCTGCAAAGTCACGTTCACTAACATATGGAAACTACAGCCAAAGGTGAGATATGTCACACACAGTAGTCAACCCGTTGTACATAGTCCTGCCCACAGAACCACCACTTCATTACATTTGATGGCATTACAATTGTCTTGTTCCCCATCATCAACATCCAGGGAGTCACCATTTATTCAAACAGCAATTGAAACTACAATTTTCTGGATAAACAAAATATGGGAACAAATGACTGCAGATGCTGGAATCTGCACTGAAAACAACAAATGCTGGGAGTCACAGCGGGTCAGACAGCATCCATGGAGAAAGGAAGCTAACGTTTCGAGTCTAGATGAAATGTTAGCTTGCTCTCTGTCTCTATGGATGCTGTCTGACCCGCTGTGATCTCCAGCATTGTTATCTTCTGGATAAACATTTTGGTTACCAAGACAGATTGCAGTCTAGATATAATGTGCAGAGTAGTTCAGTTCCTTATACCCCAAATGCTTTACTTTAAGGCATTTGCCCCCTGTTTGAATGTGCAGCTGCAACAGCAATCAAGAAGCTCAATACCATGTAAGGGCAAGTAGTCTCTGTGATTGGCATACCAACCCAATTTGAACAACCCCCCCACCCCTCACACCCCCACCATCACCAGTCTAAGTAGGTAATGCTACAAAATGCACTGCACCAATTTAAGTTGATTTCTGCACGGAGACTGCCACATTGGTGACCTCAAAACTGAGGCAGACAACAGGCAGCCCGGAACTCCCTCCCTAACATCATTACAGGACACTATCGCCCCAGGGAAAGCAACAGTTCACTGAAGGCGGCCCAGTACTAGTTGCTCATGGCAATTGGAGATGGACAATAAACGTAGCCTTGCCAGCAGAGGAATGAATAATAAAGAAAAACCGCTGCTGCTGGAAACAAAAAGAAGTAAAACGCGCACAGCGCACATGTCATCGTTCTTTAGAAAGGAAGATTCTTCTCACCAAAATATCAAACAAAGAACGATCCAGTCAATAAAATCACATAAGAGGTTCTGTAAAGTTGAACAATATAAGCAAAATAAGATGATGTATTGCACTGTAACTAGAAATGATTCTTACTGGAGACAAGTTGCGCTCTGTTATTTCAGTAAGAATGACTAATCTACTGTCAGTACAAACTACATCATGCTGAAAATACACGAGGCGATTCATAGAATTCTTCTTTGGACACACGGGGGAGCTCTGATCACGTCTTTTCATTTTCGAGCACCCGGCATGTGGGGGTGGGACCACTGTAGCAAATTTAAAACTAATCACCTCGTAATTGCTTCAGGGCTGTGTACAGGAAATGCTAAATGATCATCCGTTGCCCCTCAAGACGCTGACAACGTACAGTAAATGTACAAAAGGATTTATGAGAATCCAGACGTGCAATTTGTGACTAAATCGTGCTAATGTTGTATTTTATAGATCGGCGCGGATATACACTGGGTTACATTACAGTGAACAGAAAAGCACATGCTCGGCTTTTTAACGTGATTTTTGGTTGAAAAAGAGCAAACGAATGTGCAGGTTATAATTACCTATCGGGGCCAATGTGGGCGTCATGTACCACTTATGGAGCGAGTATACAAAACACTTTAGGTCTACACTTTAGCTCATTTATTATACTATTATATTGATCTAAAAAAAACTTGAAGAAATGTGAACACCTGTGCCTGGTTTCACAGTCATGTTGCCATTACTTTTTGTTCTTCCTCTATGCATCAGCGACATGAGTTCAGTTGATACAAAGAAACAAGCTGAATGCCATCGCCTACCTCAGATTCTTATAAATGCAAGGTCAAATCACTAAAAGCACGTTTTATTTCTAAAGTGGTTTTACTGGCGATCTGAAATAAATTAAAAAGCTGCCTATGGTTGAGGAACTAACACTGCAGCCGTGAGAGGCCGTTTTCAGAGAACTCTCCCGCAATGTACTCTGTGGGAAAAATCAGCTTGGAAAAATAAAGAACAGCACGTGTAATCCTCCTGGTGATATGCACTTAGTCTGGAGGAATCTGGATCCGGAGTGCTGCTTTCATGTAATTCTGTCCTTCCCATTGACAGGCAAGACTTTTAGATTTGCAGAAATCCTGTGGAAATGGGGTTTCAGGGCTTTGAATAACTAACCCTGCTTAACGCTCTCAGCGCAAAAGGCAGAAACAAGGTTTATGAAATCGCTGGGACTTCCTATTCAAATAAGAATTGTTGCAGTTCCGTAACGTTGGTCCACAAAGCTTCAAATACAGTTGTTGAAAAGATTAGAAGAAAGTTTTAAAGGTGGGCTTGCAAATGTTCATTATTAAACATTTGGGCACATGAAAGGTTGTCATCTTTGACCTAAAGTTTTTAGGATATCATCAAATATCATCGTCCTTCAAGAGGGACGGCATGCCACTATTTATGCCTTTGGATAGCACCGAGATGCGTGCTCATAACTATACTGAAACGAGTTAGGCGCTAAACGCTAGCTAACATTTGGCGTGCACTAACGAACAAAACGGGTCTTACAGAAAGGAAAATGGTGAACTGCAATTAGGTCTTTTGCCTAAGGTTTGAAATGTTGGATTCACAGAGATTTCGGGAATTACAGTCGGACTATGTTGGCATTGTTTGCCGTTTTTACCCTTGGTTGCTGTATCACCGTGACATCTTCAATAGATTTCAACGGTGTCATCGCGGACAACCCGAGCATCCCGGTCAGGCAACTCATCGATAGTGATCAGTTCATGCACTTCGCATTTCGAAAACTTTTAACTTTTTCCCCCCTAACAAATTCCAGTTGAACTCTGTAATGCTTTTCGCTTGCACCAAACGCTCTATTATCTGTTCCCTTTACTTAGTTAGACACTGTTGAGTTATTGTCTTTGTTGATCCGGGAATGCTAAAAAAAAGTGGTGGTTTGAGAAACCCTGGCACAATAAGCAGCACAATCGAATGTTTAATTTGGTCTTAGCGTTGATGAGTGAGCTCTGACTTTGGCCAGATAAACGATGAGAAAGAAAGATGTTATATTCCGGGAGGAATATCGCAAGCTGATGACGTCTGTTGGTGATACATGGTCTTAACGTGACTTGCACCGACTCTGTAAAGAAGGCAAGCAGTCTGATTCATGAATAAAAATCCGAGCGCAACTGTACAACAAACAATAGTTCATAAAAAAAGCGAAGATGTAGACAAATGTTTACAAAGACATCTGTTGCTATGTGTATTTCAAACAGTGTTTGCAAAGATTTCTGATAATTGCATATATATATAATAGCGCGGAACGGTGAAAGGTTGAACGGCACTAGCATCTCAGCGACGACTCAGTGAATTGCCGTGAGCAAGAATTTGATCAGATTCAGAACTAAACCTGGACCAGATCGTGCACAACATTCAACCAACCTGCAAAAGGTAAGTGACAGTCAGCAAAGTTAGCGTTTGTATTATCTGGCTGCTGGGCGCTTCTGTTTTTACCACGGGCTAGAAGATCGAGAGACAAGCTGTATTTGTTTTGTAATGGTATCTAATTTTCCAACTTTTCATTTCCCTAATGCCTAATTGAGGTGCTCCTCCTGTTCATTCATTGAGTGAATTAAACGTGCATTTTGCTTTTTAGTTTTAAACTTTCCCAAATTCACTTCACAGATTAAGAATGTCTAACAAAGCGACGCTAGCATTTATGGTTGTGTATGGGATCATAATGCATTGCAGTGTCTACGGTTCACCGACTGGAGAGAAATACTCCCAATTTAGGTAGGTGTTTGGCATTCTGTCATTCGCTGGAACTGACTTTTCTTTGCACGCCTTTCTGATTTGGATCTTTTCTTTGTTACTTCGCTTTGTTTGTTTCGCACTGTGTTTGCCTGCGGTCTTTGCCTTGCTCCTCTAGGTTGAAGTGACTGCTTCTAGTGGCTTGGTCAGTCATCCATGTGAACACTTTTGACTTGTTGAACAGCGAGTGATCGGAGCTCGATCCCGGGCGCCCCGCTCCGGCGATACGGCTCGATTCTGATCTCCCCCAGTCTGGCGCAGCGTGGGATTTAGGAAGGAATGTAGGGGAAAGCGAGAGACAGAGCGAGAGAGGGAGAGGGAGACTGATACTCCTAATGAGAAGGACAGAGAGCTTTGATGCATGGGAGCAGGGAAACGAAGCAGAAACAAAATAGAAAGAAGGGAGGAGGAAACATGGACAAAGTGCAGGGAGATGCAGAAGATCAAGTCAGGAGCAGAAAGCCACCTTGGCTTCTTATTATTTCGAAAACAATGTGTGAGGAAATCGAAGCAAAACCCTGGCAGCTGGTAAGTATGTTTTTTTTTTGCCTTTCCACCCCCACCTCCAGACAACGTATTCTATAGCGGTTTGTAATTCGTCTCCGTGTGGTGACAGAGACTAATGCCAACCTATCAGTCAAGTCACAAGAAGGGATCGGTTCTCGGATGCTATGGAAGGGGCTTGTTTATTTAGGGGGGTGAAGCCTAGAGCAGGCGTGGCGTTTTTTCGCTGTGATTAATGAGAGATAAAAGAGAGAACATTTAGCACTGCTATCAGAGAGAGAATACAATTTTCTCTCATGGCTACAGGAAGTGGAGTTATGTGGACGCCTGCTTGTTGGGACGGAGTTGAGAGCTTGGTTAAAAAAAATGATTGTTATAGACGGAGCCTAATGGAAGTCCCCGGAGACTCGGTGTAGAGCGCGTCAATTACTGTCATGGGGCGAGTAGGAGGAGGAAGGGGAGACTATGGTAAATGATGCATAAGATCACGAGCGGATAACAAGAGGCAGACTTTACAAAACTAGGTTTGATACCAGCTCAGTCCTGGCCGAATCTTTTTATTTTAAAAAGACAACTGTTCAAGCTCCCGTGTTTTTGTTCTGAAGGTTTGGAGGTAAATGTACTTCTTTTAAAGTAATGTTGCAATTATTTTAGTGATCTTTGTAATCTGTAAGAATGTAGATTATAGGCTGTTGCCTCTTTGGGAGTACAGAGAAGTTGCATTTGCAGAATAACGGTAAATGACAACACGTTTGGTGCGTTGGCTCAGAAGAATACTTTAGTAAATCCTTCCAGAGCGGTTTGCATATTCCAGGAAACGGGGAGGGATTGTGGTAACTCATTCCGAAGGCTAAACAGTTGTTCTAGTAATCATCCGGGAATTTAACATAATATCGACATTGTGGCTACAGGGATGCACATTTAATGGCTAAAATGTCTAACAGTGTGCTTTCATCTGGTGGATGATTGTGCAGATTGTGAAGGTAACGAGGATGATGGAAATGTTTGATGTTTGACCTACTGCATTCTGCATTGTGAGCAGTTGTGGCCAGAGCATTACCAAAGCATTGTCATTTGGTACTGTGTAATTTCACTCCTACAAGGTGATGTTGTCCCTAACACCAGAGATAATCCATCATTTGACCAGCAAACTTCCAGGGTTAGTTGCTTGAACTGAATGTGGCAGTGAGGGGGTTGTCAGTGGTGAGAACGATCACTGACAGTGTGAAGTTGTTTATTTATTTTCTGAACATTCTTTCCACAGGGTAAATATGAAGAACCATATTGATTTGACAGAGCTCTTTGTTAACCGGCTAAAGTGTTGAAAGCAGCCCCCTCCCCCATAAAACACTCGGTGTTACTCCCGGTTGGAGGGGAGGGAGGAGGGCAAGTCAACATTTTGAACTTTAATTTCAGCTCATCAGAGAAGCCGCCCAACGGCTTGGTACATGGTCAATTATTCAGGAACCATGTACATCACGAACTCCCGTGAGACTAGGGCAATAGTGTACAATCCCAGAAAGATTCCTGTAGCGTCCGGGGATTTCCATTAGCAGGGCTATGAATTACTTATAGCAATGAAGAGAGTCAAAACAAGTTGAACATCAATCGCGAATTAGCTCACGTCTGGCGTAGGTCTCCATCGATGTCTAATCTCAATACTAAACAGAGCTCATCTCGGGCTATGGGAACGAAGTAAATCACAAGCTGAGAACAAAAGGGGAACAAACAGAGCAGCCGCTTCGGTCTTAGTTCATCATTTTATCAACTGGTGCGGACAGAATTTAATCTTTTCTATCGTCCCCAGGGTTGAAGATGAAGCGTATGATGAAGAGGGAAACTCACTATCGGATCTGACTTACCAAACTGATCGAAATGGCACCCGAATTCCTTCATCGGTCATTGATGATAGGTGACTTTTCTATTCTGTTGCTAAAGTAACGCGCAGCCCTTGCCGGTTCTGACAGTGTTATATTGGAGCTATGTGTCGAATCTTTTGTATAGTTACTTCTCAAATGTTCTCTTTATAAGCGGGAGACTTTTTAATCCTCCTGAATTATTGAAGAACCTCTGAACGAGTAAGGCACAACAGGATAGCACAAACCGTGGGGTTCTTTAAAACAGTGTAAATTTATGTTAATCAATTCAGTAATTACGATGCTACACCCGATGTCAAGAAGCAATATCGAGTAATTCAAAAATCTGCAATATCTGTCAGTATTCAGTGAATAGAAAAGCAGGCTTTAAATGACATTATCAGTGAATCCTAAATCTTATTTTGAACAAATAATTTATTGGAGGCCTGGTGGCAATCGGGGATCACTGATGATTTCTTTTACATGGTCTTTGTGTATCTCAGAACAGAAAGGCACGCTGTGGCGATATTTAATAAACTCCTAAGGGCATGGTTGGCACAGAAAAGAATAAGAGAATTCGTTCAATTTCTCATCTTTACAAAGCGCGATGGGTAAGTTTTACGTAGTTGTTCATAAATATCTCAATGTTTCTGTAAAGCAACTGGATTGTATCACGGACTTTATTTTGGTTCTGTCGTCACATCCATCTCGTTGATTCCATCTCTTTAATAATTTCCGTCGCCTCTCTCTCCATTGTATCCTTCAATTTGGTAAAGCCGTATTGGACGGCCCGTGGGGAGTGGGACTGTTTACATTAGTTCAAGGACATTACTGTTCATGAATGTAACATGCCTTGTGTGTTTTGTAAACTGCTCAAAGTTAGCGGCGCCTTTAACAATTAAGTAAATATGAAGGATTTCAAGAAATTAGGGGCTGGCGTCAGTTTAGTGGAGGTGACGTTTTAATCTAGAAGGAGTTGTACATATGTTTGCCAAACGGTCTTGGAGTCTTGATTCTATTTTTCATTTGCAGTGGCAGCAGTGTTGAGAAGGATACAGAGCCCCTGTCAAAGCGACATTCCGATGGCATCTTTACCGACAGCTACAGCCGTTACAGGAAACAGATGGCTGTCAAGAAATACCTGGCAGCCGTCCTGGGGAAAAGGTATAAACAAAGGGTTAAAAATAAAGGACGCCGAGTATTCTATTTGTAGCGATGAGTGAGCACCCACCCTACGTATACAGCCCTATCCAAGATTCGTTTCAAACGACTGAATAATCATCGCTCCACTGTTATTTAAACATGTATTTATGTATGAAGTAAAGCCATTAAAAACGAATATTTTGATAAAAATATTGTTTTTTGTAAAACACTATAGGACGCACAGGTCTACTTTGTGGACGATTCATTTTTGGGTTAAATATTACAGAGCAATTCATATAAAGTGTGCACAAGAACAATATCAGTCTGAGTGGTTGGTTTTATATGAAACACATAACTATTATCGGTGTAGGTATGTTGGGATATTGTTTCTATTTGTGTGTACTGATTTCAAACTAAAATTAAAAGGCTAGTGTTTTTCATCCACAACAGCCCGGAAGATATTAATATTGTCCACATTATCGTCGACATAGGCATTGATGCTCTGCTTAGGCTGCTGGTAGGGGTTTATGATATTGGTTTGGGAGAATTGCTGCAGCAGATCTCCTTGTCGGTGAGTTCCAGTATAGGCCGCTTTCACAAAAGACAAAATGCAAGTAGAACAGCTTCTCGCCATTACAATCGACTTCAAACTCACATGCCTTGTCTGGTCAGCAGCTTTAAAACAGTAGCGTTCAGTCTGGCACCATGGTGCAGGTGTTGGGGGAGAAGACGGGTTACATGCTATGCCACGATGGATGGCTCTGTTAAATGCTGGTTCTGCCGTTTGCTAATGATTGCAGAGAGAGGAACATGCGAATCAGCAGTACGCGAGCGCAAGAACCACATCTTAACACCCACATCATGTACCGCAGACCAGTCCTAAAAAAAACAAAATGAATGGATTTGGTTTCTTAAAAGTCCCCAATCAATGGCATTGCAGTTGCAAGTGCCATGAACCGCCTCCAGGGGAAGCCATTAAGATTTCCTAGGCAGTCTGACACTGAGCTTTGGTGCAAGATTGTGGCATTGAATAATTTTTTTTTGAAAAAAGAGCTGCTTCCTTTAAAATGCTTAAACCTCTGTGATCTCGCAATAAGGCAGGGGAGTGATCACTTTTATTCGAATGTCATTGCAAACTAATAGTTGAATTGTTTTCTGACCGTGTTATGATATTAAAATCAGTGATGAAAAAGATAGGCTCTGGTTCCGCACAGTTGGAAGGTGAATGTTCAACGTAAAGACATTCCGAGGCGCGAGGTTTCATTTTAAAGTGACTAAAACAGGCATGTGAGTTTCTAAAGTTCAAACTATACCTTGGCAAAAGTCGAAACGGATTCACCTTTGTAGAAAGGAACATAGTGCATTACTCAAACTTCAATAACTCGTAAACGCCCTAGCCCTGGAAATCATTGATTACTGACAGAAAACACTGACGACGCGGTTTAATTTATCTGTAGAATTAAGAAAGAAAATTAACCTACCCAAGGCGTAAATTTTCAGGTATTTGGGGAAAATAGTCGTAGCTCATTGGCATTTAGATCTATGCCTGTCTGAAATCAATCTTATTTTAATTTTGCATTCTCCTCCAGGCAAATTGACCGAGGATGCAGCTTGCAGCTTTGGTGCCTTGATTCGTCATTTAAATCGACATGAATTACAGAGGGTTTCTTTTCTTGTTTTATTTTTTAAAAAGCGGCCCTACATTGCTGCAACACATCAGCTTACATTTGAGCCTTTTTACAGTTCGCGGATCTCGTGTGGTTTATCGTTGCAAGTTGTGAAGTCGGTGATTTGTGTATTGCGCTCAGTGTGACGTGAAGCCTTGTGCTCACATTCCTATCTATTCTAGACGTTCTCATCAAACGCTGTGTTTCGTTAATGTACGCGTGACCGAGAGAGCTTGTGTAAACCATAGGGACACCAGATGCCTTACTAAACTTTACAAACTACAGACATTTGATCGATCTTGATTAAACAGTAACAGAAACTGCAATTCTGGACATCTTTTCATTTGAGCAGTGGAGTAAATTAAGAAATCTAAACAAATTGAGGCACGTGGCTAGATCTACATCAGTCAGGAATTGATCGATAATGTCAATCCAAACACTTTGTAAAGTCTACATCAATACATTTTTATACACAAAATCTCGTATAATCTTTGCATGCGCTGCAAACAGATTTTGTCTTCTGCTAAAACAAACGCGTTTAAACTACATTGATTCTAATTCATACATATTCTGAGGGACCGAAATAAAAACATAAATATTTCAAACAAAAGTATAAATATTTCATGGTCGGCAGGGGATCATTACTACCGTACCGATGGGCACCCTGGTGTGTAAAGAAGTCATTCAGAAGTTAGACATCACGAAAATTACCTTCCACCTAACCAAATAGTCACATGTTACACAGCGAGTGACTCTATTAGATTATTGTGATTGGTTTCAAGTTAACCTGATTCCCATGTGCCAGCCCTCACCTTCAACTCTCGCTGTGAGTGACATGTGGGAATACTGTGGTAAGCAATAGGCACATGCGGTTACACAGCAGGGGACGGGAAGGCTTTGTTGGGTTTTACACTGACCGTTTCCACCTCCCACCCTCCTTTAACGCCGCCACAACCAGAGACCAAACACAGCAGCAGTCACCGTTTGTAAAGGTGCACCAATTGCCAAGACAGTTTAACCCAAGCTAAATGTTCCCCCAAACTTTTCCCGATCCAGGACAGCGATTGGGCTGGCCCATAGGTTTCTCTACATCTAATATATAATATCTGTTAAAACATTAAGATCTGTCTAAATTTTAATCGAATAAACTCTCACTCATTCAATAATACCCACTGGTGCCTATAGTCTCAACACTAACCAAAGTATGTGCAAGAAAAACGGTTTCGATCAATGCAACCCTTGTATTGCGATCCTTCAATCTAAGCTGCAAGATCAATCTTTTCCTCTGTAACATTCCATCATTACAATATTGAACATTAATTTCTTCTACTTGTTAATTGAGGCACAAGAAAGCGAGAAATGATTTTCACGGTATAAATAGGAAAGCAAGTGCTTAACATATTCACGTGTAATAGATTAAAGAAAACAAACTCAGACCAAAGTACAACATTGGCAAAGAACGTTTGCCTTCTCACCCCCTTCCCCCCAACCCAAACCAATCTTTTAATTAATGTTAACATTTAACTTGCGTTTTAGAGCAAGTTTTTGGAGCTCTGTTCAATGATGGAGGTACAGCCTTTCTGCTTTCCCGGTGGACAATAGAGTGAAACAAGCAGTATAGCTTTGGTCACCCAGTTCCACTCACGCCAAGGCTGTTCTCATAACACACGGACCAGCCTCTAGACTCTAGTCTCTAGGTGTGGAGTAAATTGCAACTGTTGGATCCCAGCGACACTATTTGCTGTGCATTCAATTTTGATCAATTAGGAATTTTTTTTTTGCATGAATCCATGCATATGCAGATACCTCTAATCAGTTGATTTTTAATTAAATCAGTTCTCTCTGAAATGAGAATGATTCAAACATTAATTTAATAAAATGTCCAAGATGAACGTGGTTGCCCCCAGACTAGGGCATAGATGATATCTAATGTGATGCCCAAGTGCCAAAATTTGATCTGCTAGAAGTAACTTTACATGTTGAATGTGCATAGGGTTCATAATAGATGCTGGTTAGAATCATTCTACCATTCTCACATGGATGTGCAGTGAAAAATTATTTACCTTGATGATAAAGCAAAAATGTTGTAGAACATTGGTGAGGCGTCTTCTGGAATGCTGGGTACATTTCTGGTTGCCCTGTAATAGGAAGGATATTATTAAGCTGGAGAGGGTTCAGAAAAGATTTACCAGGATGATTCAGGAATGGAGGGTTTGAGTTTAAAGGAGAGGCTGGATAGGCTGGGACTTTTTTTCATTGGAGCATAGGATTGATCTTGTGTGCATTTCCAGCATTTATTTATTTTCTACCTGATCGAACTGAGAAGCCATTGATTCAGTTTAATCCCATTTGATGACATAATGGATAGCTTAATGTTTGAATGGTAGAAACCAACAAAAAAAAATCAAAATTAATTTATCATAATATAAGATGTGGTGAGTTATGTTCCAAAGAAGTTTACTTATAGGTTTACTACAAAAGGATGTAGACTTAAAAATTCAGGGAACATTATCAAAATTTGTTGATGTCATCAAAATGAAGTTGTGGAAAACAGTGTTGAAGATTGCAAAAGATCACAGGTGATCATAGACAAACTAGTACTTCAGGAAAAAGAAACTTGCCAGATGCAGGATATGTTTTTGAGTTCCCTGCTGCGACTGACCTGCTTTTGCAGCATGAATACCCATGGTGGAATGAAGCCCTTCAATGGGCATTAATTATGTAATTAAGGGCCTCAATGGTATCAGGGTGAGAACCATCCACATGAAGGTGATGGGGTCTGCACCTTCCATCCTGATTAAATGCCCTCCATTTTCAAATCCACCTCAAGGGAGGGCAATAAATCTTACCTGGTCACTGTAAACTTGTCAGATAAAATGTCTAGTTTCAATACCTTTGCATTCTATATTTCTGTGGATGTACACTGTTGCTGTGACATAGTTATGGAATTTCCTATATCTACCACTTCAAATCAGTGATGTTGTCAATGTGAATAATTTCTCCAGAGTCACAGTGCAGCACAGATTCACAGAATGTCATTGAGGTTCCAATGGTTAGATTATGGGTAACAACTGGAAAAACTAAGTTTATATTCCCTGGAATATAAAAGATTTGATTGTGGTGGTAGGTTATGAAGTGTAGAATTGGGTAGATAGAGAGAAACATTATCTGCTGATGTAGCTGTTTAGTCAGGCCATTCAGGAGAGAAGTTAGGAAATGTTTCTTCAGACAAGAGGTAGTAGGTGTGGAATTCTAACCCACACAAATCAACGGATGAATTTTCAATTAATAATTTTAATTCTGAACTCAGTGCATTTTGCTAACCAAGTGTATTAGGGATATAGAAGGATACAGGTTAGCCACAAATCCGTTGTATGGCTCAATGGACTATATCTTCCTAGTTTAGTACTATTGATGATGCTCATCTGCTCAGTATTTAAACAAAGTTATTCAAGAAAACAATTAAGAAAGGAAAATGAATGCACTAATAAAAACAATTCTCTTTAACTTTAATGATTTGGGAGATGTATAATTTGGATTTATCCACATATTTTTCTTTTTGTTGTCAACATGATACAAAAGTTTGCGGAATCATAAAAGTCTTTAAATGCAGTATAATAGGTCATCACTTATTCAAACCATTTTTTGCTAATAGCATTAGTGCTGAGAAAGTATGTCACCACTATAAAGTCTGAATGAGCACTTTCCAATGATTATGTTGCAAAATCTTTCAGCTGGTCAAGTTGACCTGTAGTATACCCTTCAAACAGAATTTTAAAACTGCTCTTTGCTAAGCTTTATTTATGTATATGCAATTTAAACATAAACTAGAGTAAATGCATGCACATTTGGCATCTACTTGGCATCTACAAATCTATTGACTGTAATATTTTAAACTTGTTTTATTATTTTGCTGTAACCAATAAGTTACAAACAAAAGCAGTTCTCACTATTAAAGATCTATCAATAATGTAATTTTTGATTAGGTATAAACTTTAGTTCTGAATTTTCTAAGGGTTTACGGTATATCCCACAATAAAAAATCTGTCTTGTCTGCATAGGCTTATGATTTCCAGTGGGAAGTGGTAGTAACCAAGATTTCTTTCCATTCTGGAAATGAGATAATACTAACTCTAGGTGAGACTGGTGGAATGTGCTGTTTAGATGGCAATGTTGTAATACCAAAAAGGCAAAGTGACACTCATGGATGCACCATGGCCTGTGACTTAGCTTGGAATATTGTTAAAACTGGAGGCAGTGACAAGCTATTTAAATCTTTTCTAAACATCTTGTGCTTTGACTTACTTTAGCTTGTTGAAAAAGGTCTTGTACCCAGCATCTGTGAGGCACTACGTCTTTTATTTCATTCTTTGTAGAAGGAAATCAATATATATTCATTTTGGCATTGGTGCCTGAATAAATTATTGTAATTATGTGATCCTGACCTTAACCTGGATACTTAGGTGGGGTTAAGAGTACTGACTACCAGGACATTTTGCTTTGCATTACTAATAGTGGTGGAATGGGTTTGATGAATTTGTATGGCCCTGCCTTAAAGCAGTTATGATATTACTGTGAGCTTAGTTCAGTTGATAAAACATTAACCTGAGTTTGAAGACTCAAATCTACTTATTTTTAACTGGTTGGCAAAAGATCGTCCATCAATGTGTTGTTCTGCCCTATAATTTGAGCATTCAATCGGGTATAGTATTAAAGTTTAACATTTACTGTCACCTAATGCTTGGATAACTTCATAATTCAGGCATAACCTTTACATCTGTGATATCAAAGGCACATGCAATAAGTAAAATTCTGTTACATTCGTCTGTTTATTTTGCATCCTTAAAGAACAATTGCAGAGGCTTGGAGGCAATTGCATGGTTAAAAATATTCCTCAATTTTGCTAAATATAATAGTAATCTACATAGAGCAATGTGAAATTTTCACAAAGGTGTAATTTTTTTAACCAGCATTGGCAAAACTAAATTGAGTTTCCCACATTAATAGGTTTCTATGATGATGTAACTAGTTTAGAATATCACTGAATTTCTGAGTAGGAAACAGAAATTTTTAAATGAATTGAGGATTAATTTGGAACAGCAGGACCCCACAAGTTAGGATATGCAGTAGGAGATCTTTCCATTGCAGAGATCACTGGAGCAGGCAGATGGTGAGGGATATCTGATTTGAAAGTTTCCATGCAGCTAGGAACTGCCATTTACCTTTGCAACTTGAAAAAGAAAACATCCCCAGGTTTTTGCTAAACATTTTCATTGATAAGGATGGGCAACATTTTAATCAGTAAATTT